GTTAGCTCTTCTTGTTGCATTGATCCTTTTACCATTATGTAATGTCCCTCTTTGTCTCTTATGATCTTTGTTGCTTTAAAGTCTAATTTATCAGAGATGAGAATTGCAACTCCTGCTTTTTTTGCTCTCCATTTGCTTGGTAAATCTTCCTCCATCCCTTTATTTTGAGCTTTTGTGTAACCTTGCATGTGAGATGGGTTTCCTGGATACAGCACACAGATGGGTTTTGTCTTTTTATCCAATTTGCCAGTCTGTGTCTTTTGATTGGGGCATTTAGTCCATTTACATTTAGGGTTAATATTGTTACGTGTGAATTTCATACTGCCATTTTGGTGCTAGCTGGGTGTTTTGCCCTTTAGTTGAGCTGGTACTTGTTGTTCCTTTATATGTGTAGAGCCTCTTTCAGGAGCTCTTGTAGAGCTGGCCTGGTGGTGACGAAATCTCTGAGTACTTGCATGTTCCCAAAGGATTTTATTTTTCCTTCACTTATGAAGCTTAGTTTGGCTGGATAGGAGATTCTGGGTTGAAAGTTCTTTTCTTTAAGGATGTTGAATATTGGCCCCCATTCTCTTCTGGCTTGTAGGGTTTCTGCTGAGAGATCTGCTGTGAGTCTGATGGGCTTCCCTTTGTGGGTAACCCGACCTTTCTCTCTGGCTGCCCTTAGTATTTTCTCCTTCATTTCGACCCTGGTGAATCTGACGATTATGTGCCTTGGGGTTGCTCTTCTTGACGAATATCTTTGTGGTGTTCTCTGTATTTCCTGGACTTGAATGTTTGCCTGCCTTGCTAGGTTGGGGAAGTTTTCCTGGATAATATCCTGCAGAGTATTTTCCAGCTTGGATTCATTCTCTTCGTCGCATTCGGGTACGCCTATCAAACGTAGATTAGGTCTTTTCACATAGTCCCACATTTCTTGGAGACTTTGTTCATTCCTTTTTACCCTTTTTTCTCCAGTCTTGCCTTCCCGTTTTATTTCATTGAGTTGATCTTCGACCTCTGATATCCTTTCTTCTGCTTGGTCAATTCGGCTGTTGATACTTGTGCATGCTTCACGAAGTTCTCGTGTTGCGTTTTTCAGCTCCATCAATTCACTTATATTCCTTTCTATTTTGTCCATTCTCGTTAGCATTTCTTCAAATCTTTTTTCATTTGGTTTCTTTGCATTTGGTTAGAACATGTTCTTTAAGTTGATGGAAGTTTCTTACTACCCACCTTCTGAAGTCTGATTCTGTCATTTCATCACACTCGTTCTCCCTCCAACCTTGTTCCCTTGCTGGTGAGGAGTTGTGATCCCTTGTAGGAGGAGAGGTGTTCTGGTTTCGGGTGTTTTCATCCTTTTTGCGCTGGTTTCTTCCCATCTTTAAGGATTTATCCACCTGTCGACTTTGTAGTTGCTGGCTTTCAGATTGGTTCTCAAATCTTTCAGATCGACGTTCTGTTTGTTGATGATGAGGTTATTTCTGTTTCTTGGTTTTCCTTCTGACAGTCTGGCCCCTCTGCTGTAGGTCTGCTGAGGTTCACTCCAGGCCCTGCTTGCCTGGGGTTCACCTGCAGCAGCTGCTGAACAGCAAGGGTTGTTACCAGTTTTCTTCTTCTGCTATCTTTGTCCCAGACGGATACCCGCCTAGTGTCAATCTGATCTCTCTTTTATGAGGTGTCTTTTTGGATATCTAGGGGTCAGGGATCTGCTTGAGGAGACGGTCTTTTCTTTATAGGAGCTCAAATGGTGAGCTGTGAGCTCTGTTGTTGTTCATTCAGAGCTGCTGGGCAGGTATTTTAGGTCGGCTGCAGCAGATCTCATAAACTGCTTTTTGTTCCCAGGTGCTCTGTCCCAGGGATTTAGGGCTTTATTTATGAGTTTCCGTTATGCTGCCGCCTTCTTTTATTTTATTTTTTTCCTTCAGACCTGCCCAGCCCTGCAAGGTGGCAGCCTAGTCACTGTCGGCCTATAGCAGCTTTGCTGAGGTGCTGCGGGCTCTGCCCCGCTGCCAAGTAGAACTTCCCTGCAGTCCTGTTTATATGGGTGTAGTTAGAACTGCTTTGGCGATGGTGGCCCGCCTCTGTTGAGGCGGAGTCTCTGCTGTTGCGGGTTGCCTTGGCAACGGCGGGCTGCCTCAGGAATGGCGGGTTGCCTTGGCAACGGAGGGCTCCCTCGGTAATTGCGCATGCCCCTCCCCCACAGAGCTGGACTGTCCCGGGTTCAGCTGCGCTTGCTGTGAAACTCTCAATCCAGAGTTTCTGGTTGCTGTTCTTTCGTGGGGGTGGAGCCAGCCGAGCCTGATCGCCTGGCTCCCTGCCTCAGAGCCTTTTTTAAGTTGGTGTTCCAGTCGCCTGTTGAAGAGGCGCCGGGGTCTGTTTGTTTTCCCCTGCGGCCACTCACTGCGCTGGCTTAAACAGCGGCACTGAGGTTTGTGGTGCTTTTTTTTTTTTTTTTTTTTTGCCCTGGAATCTACTGTCCTGGTTCTCTGCTCAGTCCCCTTTTTGAACCGACAAATGGGCGACTTTCTGTGGCTCCAATCGCCAGCCAAAATGGCCCCCGGACCGGTGTATTTTGTACGGAGAACCGCGGCTCCGGGGCGCCGACAAAGCAGCCGCGCGGGGCAGAGCAGCGGCGCTGGCCACAACAGCCGTGCTGGCGAGCGTGGAGCACCTCTGCCCGGGAATTTCCTAGGGTGTGGGCAATAAAAACGCGGCGTCCACTCACCCTCTGCGCTTTCACTGGGAGCTGCAATCCTGAGCTGTTCCTAAACGGCCATCTTGGATCGTCCAACTTCCCCTTTTTTATTTGGATACCCATTATTTCTTTCTTCTTCCTGATTGTTCTGGCTAGGCTTTCCAATACGGTCTTGAGCAGGAGTGGTAATAGAAGGTTTCCTTGTCTATTGGTAATTTTTCATTCTAACATTTTTTTTCCAGTTTTTCAAATATTATCCAACAGATGGCTTAATTTCTGCTTCTGTTTTAACCTCCTTCAGTTAAAACTCCACACAAATAATCATCTTTAAATTCATTAGATATAAAAGAAAAAATACTCAACCCAATGAGTTTAATATTAGCGGAAATATTTAGGTAATTCACTTTTTAAACAAACAACAATAAAATACCCACAGAATCAAAACCAATACAGTTGCTTTTAAGTCAGTCGTGTTGGATGTGTTTGGCTGTCCATAAGCTGTTTTCATGTTAACCTACTCACATTTTCCTCTCAGCAGTAAAGAGGCCTACAGTGATAGGCCTAAAAGCCTAAGTAAGAATGGAATCAATCAATATGTAAAGAAATTTCAAAAGGCAGACATATCCGTATAAATATCCATATAAACATTTGGATGGAATGTTCTTCTAGACAGCTTACCATGCATACACAGAGACAGAAAAACAGATGTTTGAATAGGCAGATAAGAATGAGATCATAGTATATGTCTTATTTTTATTTTTTAAAATAAAATATGAATATTACTTTTACAAAAGGCAAAACAAAAGAATTGCTGAACTTCAAATAAAATTTTCCTAGTATAAGAGATTTTCATATCCTTCACCCACTTTTGAATGGGCTTGTGAAAATGCAATAAAAAAATTTAAAAAAAGAGATTGATTTTTAAATGTTCTTCTAGAGTAAATAATAATTGTTACTTAAATTCCTAGAGTTGAAATCCTTGCTTTTCTTTTGACTATATCACATGTAATATCTGACAAATTCAAATATATATATATTTTTTCAGATGGAGTCTTGCTCTGTCGCCTAGGCTAGAGTGCAGTGGCACGATCTTGGATCACTGCAACCTGTGCCTCCCGGGTTCAAGTGATTCTCCTGCCTCAGCCTCCCAAGTAGCTGGGACTACAGGTGTGCACCACCATGCCTGGCTCATTTTTGTATTTTTAGTAGAGACATGGTTTCACCATATTGGTCCGGCTTGTCTTGAACTGCTTGACCTCATGATCTGCCTGCCTCAGCCTCCCAAAGTGCTGGGATAACTGGCGTGAGCTGCCGCGACCGGCCTGTAATGTTTTTCTTAACCTGAGATCCATGATGGACTTTAGGGAATCTATGCACACCCTCCTAGCCAAAACTTTATGAAAAGTCATGTGTGTACAAGAAAAACCTTATTTGTCATAACCAGGACCAATAGTTAACAATTTAAAATGTTAAAACAGTGAGTTGTAAAAAAATATAAATATATATACCCTCAGTTTTACTTCAGATTAAAACATAAATGTCCTTCTTCAGCCTGGCCAATATTGTGAAACCCCATCTCTAGTGAAAATACAAATATTAGCCAGGCCTGGTGGCGGGTGCCTGTAATTCCAGCTACTCATGGAGGCGGAGGTTGCAGTAAGCTGAGATCTCACCACTGCACTCCAGCCTGGGCGACAGAGTGAGACTCCATCTCAAAAAAACCATTTTTTTTCTTTTTTCTCTATTTTGAAGTAGGACTTTTCTTTGAGTATTGGTTTCCTGGTTAAAGATCCATAACATCATTCTAACCATAAGCCATATTTGTAATATGTCTTCTACAATTTCCAGATTAGGTTCCTTTAAAATAGAATGAACAGTTAAAAACATTAAAAAAAATAATGAGTGCTGAATCTTTTAGATGGATTTAGTTTATATTTCTCCCATCTGTTATAATTGTCTTACTCATGTCTAATTTTCATAGCAGTTATTTTTTAGCCATTCATATTTCAGTCTTTATGAAGCATTTAATTTAATTTTCCTAGAAACAGTAATTCTTTTTACACTCATATTTTATCATATTATGTTACATTTAGATTGTTTAATTACAAGTAAAACTGATGTAGCAACTTGAGGAAAAAAGCAACTTATTTTTGACAAGCATACTAATCAAATTGTGAAAGATAATACTTTGGCATATTGGAGAGCGCCTGATAGGAATGAATATTCAGCATTCTACAAACATCATTTATAATAAATTTTTAAAAAGTTTTATTAGTCAAGTCTCTTAAAAGGATGTCAGGTGAGAGCTTTTATACGGTGTCTCTATTTTCCTGAAGGAAAGGACCTATAGCTTTCAGGAGCTTCTCCAAGGCATCTATGATATTAAAAAGTTTAAGAAATGTTAGTCCAGAAAGTCTTTGAAAAATGCAAGTCTCACTCCAGTTATTCATCATTTTGAAAATATACTTCAAGATGGAATTACTGTTTGCTTTTTATAATTTTCCTCACAATATTTTTGTTAACATGTAAAGAGTAACAAGTAGTCAAAAAAAAAGTAGTCTGTCTTTGAAAACTATAAAATAGGAATAAACTAACCAAATAATGTTTTAAGGCCTATTTAAAAGAAAAAAAAACTATCAAACTTTACAGAAGGGCATTTTTAAATTTTCACAATATTTAATTGATGAATAAAGATCAAATATATTCAAGGTGTACAACATGATGACTTGATGTACATATACATTATATAATGATTATTACAATCAGGTTAACACATCCCCTTGCAGCACATAATATACCCAGAACTTGTTCATCTTATGACTGAAAGTTTGTACCCTTTGACCTCATTTACCTCACCCCTAACCCCTGGCAACCTCCATTCTACTTTCTGCTTGTATTCTGGGTATATATATATATATATATATATAAACAATGCAATCAGTGTCTTGAAGAGATATATGTACTTCCATGCTCATTGCAGCATTATTTGCGATAGTCAAGATTAGAAACAACCTGAGTGTCTCTCCGTGGATTAATGGATAAAGAAAATGCAGTACACATATGTAACAGAGTGGTATTTAGCCATTAGAAAAGGAAACTCTGCCATTTGCAACAGAATGGATGAACCCAGAGGACATTATACTCAGACAAATAAAACAGAACACAGAGAGACAAATACTGTTTGATCTCACTTATATGTGAAGGATGTTTAACAAAAAGTCTTGAATATCTTTGGTGATATATCCTGTTTCTAGATGAAAAGACTAAATGTTCAAATACGGCAAGTGTTTCAAAATCTAGAAATGTAATTCAGTTCTTACAAAAGTCCTGTATTTGAATGGAGTATGACATTCATGCACATAGTATTTATTGTCTGTCTACTGTGTATTGGTTACTACAGCATAGACAGTAAAATAGATCAAGAGGACAAAAAAGAATATCCAAAACATTATATTGAGTATATCTTTGTACACAACTGGGTAGGGGATTGACATGTGGTACAGGTGGCATTCCAGATCAGTGTGTAATGGAAAGGATGGATTTTTTTTCAGGAAATGTGTTGGAATAATTGGCTGTTTGGAAAAATACTCAGACCTTTACCAACTATCATGAGAAAACTAATTCTAGGTGGAATAAAGATCTAACCATAAACTAGAATACTATAAAAAGTATGAGAAGAAAAAGAGGAATACCTGTTTAATTTTGAGATAAGAAAGGCTTTCTTAAGCAAAATATAATACACAAGCCATCAAAGAAAAAGTTGACATATCTGATTACATCAAAATTAATACATTTCTGTAGATTACAAAATACCATACACAAAGTTAGTGGATACATGAAAAACTGGGAAAACTATTTGTTACATATATGACAAAGTATGAATATCCTTCATGTATTAAGAACTCCTATAAATCAATGAGCAAAAGATGAATGTGCCTTCTGGGAAAATGAAAAAAATACATGAACAAGCAATCTATATAATAAGAAACATAAATGGCCTAATATATATAAGATACTTGATTTTATCAACAATCAAATAAATGCAGATTTGGAAAACCATTTAGATATTGGTTTTTAGCCTTTGAATTTCACAAAGATTTAGAAGACTTATAATATCACTGGTGGTAAACAGGGTAGGAAAACAGACTTATACTCTTGATGGGACTGTAAATTGCCGCAGTATATTGCTGACTTTCCGGAGAGCAGCATGGTAATAGTGTCAAAAATTAAAATGTGTATACTCTTCAGTGCAGAAATTTCAACTCTAGGAATGTATCCTGAGGAAATACTGTAAGGGTTATGGCCCCAATTGTATGTGTAAGGATGCTAATTTCATCATTGCTTATACTTGTCATCCCTCTACCCCCAAAAAGGAAAACGGCTCATATGCTTACCAACAGGGGATTTGGTAAATCATTGTGCCTCAATAGGGAATTTGTTTAACAAATTGTGGCACATCCATTATAGAATACTAAACTAAGCAGCAATTTTAAAAAGTAGATCTAAGAGTATATAAAATGATGTAGAACCATGCCTGTGAAATATTGTCAAGCTTTTAAAAAATCCTATCTCAGAATAATATGTTTCCTGTGATCTCATTTGTATGTAAAAAGGAAAACAAACTAAATACATATGTAATTTATTTTGAAAATTTAATTGAAAACATAATTGAGATTGTATTATATAATCTATTCTGCAACTTTTTCAAATTAGTGGTTCATCATGAACTTCCATTCAAGCCAGTACATACAGAACTACTTCATCTTTTTTGAAAGATCTATAAATGTTAACATTATATTTGTTTTAAAATTTGTTTGTGTATATTTAATGTATATATGAGTAAAAATTCAGGAAGAATATGTATAACTGTTAACAAAGGTTATATTTGGGGAGGAAGAGGAATTTCTTTTTACTACTGTATTACTTAACTTTTCAAGTGTGGGTATATACTTAGGAAAAACAATAAAAATATTTCTATTTGAGGATGGAAACCTAATTTTTAAAACAAATATGTTTGTAGAAATTGTAATCTGGGAAAGCCCCTCAAAACATCTTTAAAACTTGAAAAATTAATGGCTGTTGAAATTACTTTAATCCGAATGAACAAAAGGATTGGAGAAGAATAGGAAAAAAGAAGAAATCAGAAGCAGATTTTCAAAGAGAAAGAGAGACGAATGAAAATGACAGTAACTTGAGGAATTCAGTGAGCATCCCAGCCTCTGCTTGAGTATATTTACCGATCAATGTTTATTTTTACCTTTCTACCAAAAAGAAGAATATTCTTTGGAAGAATTAGCTGATTCCTTTTATTTCTTTAGGAATGGAGAAAGCCCCATAAAATTTTAAGCCAAAGCATTAACTTTGTAGCTTGTTAAAAATCTAATTTTCTCAGTCAGCAGTTTTTTCCCAAAACTCCTGTTAATAGACACAGTTTTCACTTATATCACCATGTTATATACCTTAAATAGATACAGTTTTTTAATATGTCAACCTGATCTCAATAAAGCTGAAAAAATTTTAAAAAATAATGTAGGCATAGTTTTAGATTTATATGTTACGTTGTGAATGCAGATTATACATTTCTTATAGCCCTTTGTATGACACCACAGTTTTTTCACATAAGATTTTAGAAATGGTGCTTTGTGTTATATGATTTAGAGATTTATATCTTTATTGATTCCTACCTGAGTGTTCATATAAAATACCTGACAAATCTAAAATGTATTTTTATTTTAACTTTTAAAAATATATGTTATTTGACTTCCTTTTTGTTTTATTTAGGTAACAGGGAAAAAGATATATGCTACAAGCCAGCAAATTTTTGAAACAGTTAAATCACTGTGGACGAAAAGCAACAAAAAAGAGTCACTTCCTCAACCTAAGGAAAAAACTAAGGTAAAGTTTAAATGGAACAAGACGGTCCACATTGAGTTGTGTTTGGGTGGGTGTTGGCTTGTAATGAGGGTACTGGACAGAGGTCGAGGATAAAATAAGAAAGTAGATGAAGGAATTTGGTATAATTTTTTAAAGATGTTTTATTCTCTCAGTAAAACGATTTACTTATCAAGGAAAAATCTTTTTGGTAAACAGTTAGGATCCTCTGCCGAAATACAAGTATCTGGAAAAACAACTCACGTCTTGAAACAACACTCAGTGCCTTTGCCAACAGAACTCAGCTCTGAAGCAAAGACCAAATCAGTGTCCACCTCAGGTTTGTTGGGAATAATTGTTTCGTTTTCATTCTTTTCTTAAATAATTTGATAGCATTATCATTATTGGTTTGAACTTACAGATGCGTTTTCTCCGTAAATATTTTGTCTTTCTTGTATCTGTGGTTTGCATTTCTTTTTAGGTTATGAGGCACTTAGGTGCCTGGGATTGTTTTAAATTACCACATAGTTCATAATATAGATCTTTGTATGTGAGGATACAGAGTAGCACTGAGAGGTTGATTGGGTGAAACATTTCATATAACGTTATAAATATGAGCTATTTTGTCAGGTGGGGGAAAATGGGCCTTTCTAGATTCTAGAAATTTAAAGGTACAAGTCACACCTACATAAAGAAATGTAAGCTTCCATTTTTTGTGCTATTTACCTGTCAGTCTCCCTGTCAATCTTAAGACTTGTAATGTTGCTAGTATTCCATACTGGCAATAAATACTTTGTGGAACCAAACAGTGACAATTATGCTTTCTAAAAAAATACTACCATGATTTTACTGTGATCAAAAAGAAGGTGACAGAGTGTTTGATACCATTTTGACAATGTATTCATATTGATTTGCATAGTTTTATCTACATGTACAATGTGAATGGTAAAACCCATTAAGTTGTCTTACTGCAAAGGAAAGGTGACTAACTCAGAGGTTGGGGAATAATAATAGTATCCACCTTTTATCAAGCACATACTGTAATGCAGGGAGCTAGAAATGTGTTATTCAGCACTTACCCACAAAGTAAAACAAAAACCTCTGCCGGATCGGTAATTATTCCCATTTTATGATGAAGAGACTGAGAATCTGGGAGCTAAAATCAGTTGCACCAAATCATAGAGCTTGTGAGCGGCGCAGTTATGTTTATGGCCTAGATCTTCTTGACATCAAAGTCCAAGCTCTTTCCATTGTGTATAGATTATCTAATTTAAAACCGGAATTCAGTCTCTAATTTCAGTCTCCTTCTCTCTCACTTAATCTTTATATAAACTCTCATTGAATAACAAACCTGATTTGAGTTTTACTCTTTTCCTCTGTCCTCTCTCCTTTTTAATCAAGACAAGTTATACAGTTTTTAGAGTCTCTGAATAATCTACAGGTGACCATATTCTCACAAGAATATAATATGGTCATTTTTCCAAATGCTTGTTAATTACAGAGTATCTTTGTGAAGATGAAGCATACTGCAGCTTAACAGTGGGACCAAAACCTTCCCGAGCTAATGTCTTTTCTTCACACATCTGGATGATGGAATCCTTTATTGCCTGTCTTGGGTGATGTGGCATATGAAAAGCATTCTAAGGAGATAATGCAGAGGGAGAAAGAGATGCCAGTGCCACTCATTCTTATCATCTATGTCTTGGTCAGTTTGAGCTACTGTAAAAACACCATAGACTGGGTGGCTTGTAAACCACAGAGAGGTGATTAGAATTAGTTGAGGTGATGAGGGTGGGGCCTTCATGAATGGGATTAGTAGTGCTCCTATGAATCTTGAGAGAGCTTACTTTCCTCTACTCTCTGCCATGTGACAATACATTGAGAACTAGGCTGTCTACAAGCCAGAAGAGGGCCTTCACCAGAACCTGACCACGTTGGCACCCTGATCTCAGAATTTCAGTCTTTAGAACCATGAGAAATAAATTTCTGTTGGATCCAACATTTACTAGCTCTGTTACCTGGGACAAGTTATCAAACACCTCGAGCCTCAGCCTCCTCATCCAACAAAAAGGGAACCATAATAGTTCTTGCATGGTTGTAAAGATTAAATGAGATATTGCATGTAAAGCACTAACTACAATGCCAGAGATAAACTAAGGGGTATCAGTGGATATTAAAATATGTCATTATTATCATTTGCCTAGAGTAATTAGCCATTTTGCTGAGAAACATATTTTCATTGAGCACACTTTAGGAGTAAGTTACTTACCTAGTGAGCCCAGCCATGGCTACCACATTTCACCATATAGAGTAGATTGATGTACTGTCCAACTGTATGTTGTGGCTCTGAATATGAGTTGTTTTCTACAATCTCATGTACATTAATCGAGAAAATTATTATTATGGGAATTACAAATTTAGAAATTTGGTGTCATAGATCTCTTCAAGCATCCGATGAAAGCAGAATGAAATCTCATTAATTACAAGATTAATGTCCCTCTAAAGCAGAGGTTGGTAAACTATGGCTGGTATGCCACCTCTGACTCACTATTTTCATATATTCTGCAAGCTAACAGTGATGGTTGAAAAAATAAAAAATAATATTTTGTAACAAGTAAAAATTACATGAAATTCAGATCTCAATGTCTATAAATAACATTTTATTAGAACATACCCACACACATTCATCTATATATTGTCTATGGCTGCTTTTACACTACAGTGGCAGAGCCGAGCAGTTGTGACAGAGACCATGTGGTTCACAAAGTCAAAAATATTTGCTACTGACCTTTTGCAGAATAGTTTGCCAATTCTTCGAGAAAGAAGGGATGTACCACATACGCGTGACTCATGTCCCCCTTATGGTAGTTGACAGATTTTTTGTAGATTCGGAGACTAAATAGCCAAACTCAAAACGTCTTAACGGCAAAACCTAATTTCTTACAATTTTGGGGGGCTGAGGAGACAGAAACTAATCAGATGTCAGTCAGAAGCTTGGGAGTGCCATACCTGTACTGGGAGGAACCAGAAGTTAACTGACTTTTACTAAAACTACAACGCACCCCAGACCCAGCGCAATGCCTGACTAGATTGAGATGATAAGTGTTTCACCCTTTCTAAAGAGCTTCCACCTTTCTGGAGCTTCTACCTTTCTTTCATACACAATGTCCACCATACAAACAAACAAAGTAGTAGTTACGCAAAAATGCAGGAAGATGTGATTGATAGTCAGAAGAAAAAACAAATAAATACAACAGCAACAGCAGACCCACAGATGACTTAATATTGACGTTAACTGAAAAGGACTTTAACAATATTAATATTGTTAATATTTAACTGAAAGGACTTTACAATAATTATAATTAATAAATAGGAAAAAATGATGGACAAAATAGATGAAAATGTGGAGAATGTCACAGGGACTTAGAATCTGTTAACAAAAAAAACCCTAGTGGCTGTTCTAGAAGTGAAAAATACAGTACCCGAAATTAAGAACTCATTGGGTGGGTTTCACAGCAGACTATATACCAGAAAGCACAGACTTAATGAACTGAAAGACAAGTCAATAAAAACCAGCCAGACTGAAGCTCAGAGAGAAAAAAGGAATGGAAAAGGTTGACAAAGTACTTTATAGTGACGAGTGTCTTTAAGTGTTTGAGTTGCTGAGAAGATGAATGCTGAATGTCATCCTGATTTTATACACAAGAAACCAAAATAGAATTTGTAACAATCTTACTTCATTCAGGAATTTATTAGTTTTCTGTCCCGTTTTTTTGTACCTAACTTGCTTAAAATATCAATGAGATAACATGTGAACTAAATTATTAGTTATGTGATACTACCAGATATCACATAAGCGCTATTTGAGACTATAATTCGTTGCTGTCTCATAAGTTTAAACATATTTCTTTCCTATTTGTTATAACACCAGCTTTTTGAAAAGTCTGCTAAAAACTTTAAGCAGAAAACATTCTTATTAGAAAGCAAACATATAAAAGTGCAAAGGAATGCATCATGATGATTAGGGCATTCAGATTCAAGATGAGTTTTATGACAGTTCATTCTTTGAGAGGGTAAGAGAGCCCTTAATCCACTCAAGAGATTGAAGAAATTTCTAAGAAAGATATAATTCTTAATTGCTTATTAAGGGCATGAGATGAAGCTTTTTAAAAAGATAGAAATCAAATGACAGACTAAGTGGTTCTAAACCAGAGAGAACCATATCACAATTACTTGAGGGTTTTTTTTTTTCTCCAAAATTCATAGGTTCAGACTCTACTAAAGAATTATAAATCTCAATTTCCAGAGGTGAGGCCTCTAAACAGGTAGATTTTAGGAAGAACTCCATAGGGGATTCTGTTAACATATCACTCTAGCTAATAATCTCTGTTTTAAGTTGTTAGTAAATTAAAATCTTGAAGCCTTTTAAGAAATTTTAAGGGGTGATGTAAAGGCAAAAGGGCCTTTCTAATTCAGGAAATTGGGATAAGCTGAACCTTTCACCAAATTTAGAATAAGAGTATAGATTAAGGAAGTATTTAGAAGTGCTAGAGAGCTTAGTTGATGGTTCCCACCAGATGGCAGTAGAGATCAGCAGAACCACCAGTGTGTTCCTAACATTTTTATGTGCTACAACCTCTTACCAGAATGTTTTCAAATGCAGAAAATAAACACATAGTAATGTATGAATTTCCTTAAGTGTATTAAACAACAATATCTAACAATAGGTCTGAAAACTTTTAATTTTTAATTAGTGCCGAGTGTGAATATTTTGAGTTAATCTCTAACAATAATGTAATAAGATATCTGTGGTTTCTGTTGGTGACAAAGAAATCTAAAGTACTGCTGATACTATCGTGTTTTGTTGCCTGTATTCATTATTGAAGAAAATGTCCATTTAAGTCAAAGGTAAGTGAAAATAATGACAAATTTTCTTCATCCAAGTTAATAGATCACATGAGTTCTATAACATACCCCCAAAGGGACACGAAGTTAAGAATTTATACCGTGGAGCGCTTCATTACCTGTACCATCATAAATACTAATTACTTTGAATCTGGTTGTTCTGTTAGTATATTTGGTGATGAAGTTACACATAGGTATGTCCCGATATAATATATGTTTCAGAAAAGATAGGTATAAGATATATCATTGTATTCTAATTTCTCTCCTTTGTTTTCATTATAAAACTGGAAATTAACTTCCTTTATGCAGAAAAGGCATGGTTCCAAATGTAATAAAATTAATTTTAAGACAAATCAGATTTTGAACATATTTAAAATAAAAACAAATTTCAGGAAAAAGGTTTTTAGTATTATGTCACAAAATAAATATGAAATAGCTGTCTCTTGCCTAGTTACCATGCACAAGGTGTTGTATGCAGCACTTTGTGAGCATTATCATGTTTAATACTAAAAATACTTGTACGATATTTTTACTGCTATAAACGTAATTTTAAAGAAGAGCCTGGGTTGTCGTGTTGGGGTCAGACAAATGTGGATTCATTCCTGGCTCCACCACTTATCAACTGAATGACTTTGGTCAAGTTACTTAACCTCTTCAAATTAAAATTTTCTTATCTGTAAAATAAGGACAACGTAAAAATAGTATCTACTTCATGGTGAGATTATAGGATAACACATGAAAATAACTTAGCTACTTGCCTGGGACACAGGAAGCTTGTCAAGATCACCAGTGATCCACACATTGCTAAATCTAGGAGTCGACTCTCAATCTCCATCTTATGCAATTCATCAGTAACCTTTGGCACAGGTTCAATTCCTTCCTCCTCTCTTCCTCTTGGTTCTCTTACCTCATTCACTGGCTTTCCTCCTTAGTCTTCTTTCCTACATTCTCCTAACCTTCTTCATGTCTCCTAATCTTAACCCAGAAGACTCATTTGTACTTCAGATGTTTAATAGGCAATTCACATTTAACACAACCAAAACTTAATGATTCATTTGTTTTTCCCTAACCCTGCTTCTTCCATGTTTTCCCCTATCTCAGTAAATGTGACCTCCATTCTTCCAGTTTCTCAAGTTGAAGAGTCTCTCTCACAAGACATAGTCAACTCATTTAGGAAATCCTTCCCATTCCACCTTCAACATTATCCAGAATCTGGTACCTTTTCACTGCTTCCATTGCTACTTTCCTAATTAAAGCCCTCAGCATCTCTTCTGGAGTACTGTTATTGCTTTCTAACTGGTCTCCCTGCTTCTATTCCTTGTTTTCTTACAGATTTTCTTTTCCACAGGCAAGAGTGATCTTTTCAAAAACATAGCATCATTCACTCCTCTACTCAAAATTGTCCAGTAGCTTCTCATGTTACTTAAAGCCAAAATCTTTACCATAGCCCAATGTGACCTAGCTTTCCATTGTCTGATCACATCTCCTGTCGCTCTCTCTCTCACTGCCTCGCCGCCACCCCTACATACACCACATCTTGTCTACTGTGTTCCAACCATTTTGGTTCCTCAGACGTGGCTCAGGTTCATTACACTTGCCGTCTGCTCATCCTGGAAGGCATTGACTGCCGGTATCTATAGGGTGCACACCCTCACCTTCTGTTCTTGGCTCATATATCACCTTTCCAGAAGGCTTTCCCTGGCTGCCCTATTTAAAATTACAAATCACCTAAGCACTCCATATAGCCCTCTTTGTTTCATTTTTTTCACACAGCACTTAGCCACCATTTGATATATATTTAATTAGTTTGTCTCACCTAACTGAAACGTTAGGTCTATGTCGCCAGATATTTTTTATCTGGTTTGTTCACTGTTGTCTTCCCAGTATCAAAAATAAATTTGTTAAGTGACTAATTTTTTTTTCATTTTAATACTTTATCAGGTGCTACACAGTTTATGCCTGACCCCAAGCTCATGGATCACGGGCAGTCCCACCCAGAAGATATAGATATGTACAGCACTAGAAGCTGAAGTAGACTGCATAGAGAGACTACATAGAAAACTACAAGATGTGTGAAGTTGCAAATAATGGTGAAAAAAATCATGTAATGGGTAACTGATACATAGAGTATTACCTAAAACAAATTTTCCCCTTACATCTCCAAATGTGCAATTTGATAAATTAAATAAGTGGTTAACACAGAAACTGTGAATGCAATGCAAACGATATTACATGATTGATGAGGAGGCATAGATAGAAGTTTTAGCTTGCATTTGGTGACCTTTAAGGGCATTTATTAAAAAACAACAACAACAAATGAAGACATGAACTCCAGTGAGACTAAAATCTGAAAATACATCTATGTATGTATAAAGACATACATATTTATATGTATAAACATATATTTCTGCTCTAGCTTCCCTGAATTAATGTCAGTTAAATTAGAATGGTGTGTGGAAAGATGCGTTTCCCTCTGTTTTTTTTTTTTTTTTTTTTTCTTTTTCATTTCCTAGAGCTGGAATAAAATATCCGTGTTTTATGGGACATGAACTTGGCTTTGTCTCTTGGTTTTGTTAATGTTAATTCCTATTAAATGTCTAAAAACATCTCTAACTATTTGAGAGGGCCATATGCTACACAGGCTTTCTAATATTGCCTAGCAGTCCTTCCTAAATGGTTCCTAAGTGGTTCACTATTGTGTTCCCTGGAAGAGGTATTACAAACCTTTTATTCTCCTCGAGCCTCTTTATAACTGCCAAATTGACTGTGCCTCCTGTTTCACAGATAAAAAAGTAAATTATTAGACATGACCATTCCCAACTTCTTCCTATCTACCGTCAAGACTTACCTCTTTTCAGCCATGCATTCCCCTTTCTAAGACTAATCCTTAGAATGTTTGTGTTCTTGATCTCATTCCCTCCCATCTAAGACCATAATCCACCCTGTTTAATCTCCAGTGTTTGGTTTCTCTTTTTGCTAATTTGTTTCCTCTACCCCTAAATAACTTTAGGACTTCTCTATCTTCCGTCAACAATAACAAAACAAGACAAAAACCTTTCCTTAACTTGGCCTCTTCCCTTGAACTGTTTTTTCTCTCTCCTTCCTATGTGCTATACTTCTTTAAAAAGTAATTATTACTTTTTGACAAAAGTAAATATTGTTCCTTTTTCCCCTACTTTCAAGTCCTCTGTTAGTAAGTTGTGGCATTCTGGCCTCTATACCTACTTAATTTTTTTTTTTTTTTTGAGATGGGGTCTTGCCCTGTTGCCCAGGCTGGAGTGCAGTGGCACAAACACAGCTCACTGCAGCCTTCATCTCCCAGACTCAAGCAATCCTCCCATCTCAGCCTCCTGAGTAGCTGGGACTATAGGCACCCACCACCATGCCTAATTTTTTTGTATTTTGGTAGAGACAGCATTTCGCCATGTTGTCCAGGCTGGTCTAGAACTTCTGAGCTCAAGCAATCCTCCCAACTCAGCCTCCCACAGTGGTGGGATTACGGGTGTGAGCCACTGCACCCAGCCCCTACTTGAATCCTAATGTCATTATTGATTCTTTACCACTCTCTCCTTGAAACTCACTTATTCCTTTGCTTTCTGTTTTTCCTGCTTTTGTTATTCTTCATTTTTCTTCTCTTGCTCTGAATCCCTTAAATGCTGAGGCTGCTCAAGTTTCATCCCTAGTCCTATTTTCTCATTCTATATGTGCTCTCATTTTTATTTAACATGCTTCCCTGGCTTCAGTCCCCATTTATTTTATTATTATTCATATTTTCAGCCCCCATATCCCTCTAGTGGTATAGACCTTTATTTCTACCTACTGTATTTACCTAACATCCCATAGATATGCCAATGTCAGAATGCCTAAAACAAAACTGTCTCTACCTCCCGCTCCTTCAAATCTATTCTACCTTCTCTAATCCTATCATTACTCTCCCTCAAGTCATAATCATCACTTTTCTGGGTTTCTATAACAGCCCTTCGGCTAATTTGCTTACCATCAATCTTGCTGTCCCTCACTTCAGAATATTTCCTGCTTGCAGGTAACAGTAAAGTAGTTAAACAAATATTTAATATTAGCTTAAGAAAAAAAAAAGAGCCTATTTATAGCCTGGGATTTGGCGGTATACGGGATTTGGGCATTGGCTCATGGCGCTATCAAGGACCTAGACTTTTTCACTTTCCACTCCGTTCTCTCCAGTATGCTGGTTTGTCACCTCATGGTCATAAGCTGTCTGCTGTACCTTCAGGGAGCAGATACACATTCAAAGTAGGAAATAGCAGATAAAAATATGCACAAGATGCTTCTGACTCTCTTTTATCAGCAAAGTAAGTGCTTTCTTAGAATCTCCTCAGAAGACTTCTGGGTATGATTGAACCAGTGCTTTTCATATAGCCACACACTTAGCTCCAGGAAGATAGGGAATAGGGAAATCATGTTTCTTTTCCCCTGTGGTGAGGAAGGCACGGGTTAAGGGATTGGGAACAGGTGTTGAGTTTAAGCTAACGTAGTGTCTGCTACCCTATACTTCTAACCCATTTGTCTGTTATGACATAGTTGTCTTTCTGACACCTGTAATGGATAGTTGTCTTTCTGAAATCTTTAGTGGCTCACTATTGCCTGCTGAATCAAATCAGAACTCCCTAGTTTAATACACAAGGCCCTTCATATCCAATTCCAGCTTACCTTTAATCTATTTTCCCTCTCCGTACCCATCCTACTGCTAATGGGTATTATACCATCTTTATGACCTATCATTTGTTTCTTGAACATGCTTTGTTCTTTATTGCCTCTTTTTCTGCCTGTGCTAGTGTGTCCTCTCAAAATGTTCTTCCATCTTATCCCGCCCTACATTCTAACTTCCTACCCATCCTACAAGTCCAATTCCAGTGTCACGTCCCCTTTCTCAATCCCCCGGGGTAGAACTTAGATTCTCTTTTCTAGAGACAGAGTCTCGCTATGTTGCCTAGACTGACCTCAAACTCCTGGCCTCAAGCAATTCTCCCACCTCAGCCAAACAGACATGAGGGACTGTGCTCAGCCTTTTCTTAAAGTATACTGTATGGCCAGGTGTGGTGGCTCACACCTATAATCCCAGCACTTTCGGACGCTAAGGTGGGTGGATTACCGGAGGCCAGGTATTCAAGACCAGTCTGACCAATGTAGTGAAACCCTGTGTCTACTAAAAACAAAAAGTACAAAATTAGCCAGGTGTGGTGGCGCATGCTTGTAATCCCAGATACCTGGGAGGCCGAGGCAGGAGAATCACTTGAACTCGTGAGGTGGAGGTTGCAGTGAGCTGAGATCGTGCCATTGCACTCCAGCCTGGGCAACAAGAGCGAAACTCTGTCTCAATCAATCAATCAAGCAATGTACATAGTGTGTCTTAGTTTTGATTTAATATGAGTATGTTTGAGATCTGATCCACGGTTTTAAAAAATTGATTTCAAATACTGGAGATAAATTCTTAGGAGCTTACTTATGAAAAACTAGCAAGTGATAGTTGATATTTATAGATACGGTACTTACACAATTTATGCAATTAATATTTTCTCTCAGACAAGATTCCTTGTGTGTATGGCTGAATAACTTTTTTATAGTTTCTATGCCCATGAAATGCCTGGTAGATAGTAGGAATTCGCATGTTCTGCCATGCTGGTTGCAGCACAGGACACAAAAGTTAGAATTATTTCAAAGGACTTCTACTCTACTAGGAAAGAGAGAAACATAGAAATATGGTGTTGTATGTGTTATGTTCCCTAAGATAAGTACAAGCAAAGCACTATGGATGTTCGGAGATAAAATGTAGTTCTGGGATGATGTCAAGAAGGCAGTGGTACTTAAGCTGCTCGAGGTAGGGAAGCAACTTCATTGCTAGTTTTTCCTAAGTAAGCTCTTCAGAATTTATTTCTAGTATTTGAAACGAATTCTTTAAGCCTCAGATCAGTATAGTCAAACACCCGTATTTTATCAAATCTTAGGCATATCCTATACCTTTAATTTTTAAAAAATGCTGAGCACCATTGCTTATGTCTGGGACGCTAAAGTGGGAGGATTGCTTGAGGCCAAAAGTTTGAGACCAGCCTGAGCAACATAGCAAGATCCTGCCTCTAAAGAAAAATGCTGCCAGGTGATAATTACATTTATCCCAACATCAGATATGTCAAATTGTGAAAAAGAAGCATCTTACATTTGATGAAATATGGTGGGTAAAAAATAGCGCAACGCTAAGTATAAGTGATATTTAAATTATCTGCTCTTTTGGATTAGCACAGCTACTAGCTATTAGAATATTGATTTAGGTAACAGAAAGTTGACTAGCTCTACAAAATCTGTTTCAAAATAAAAGATCTGCTCAAAAAAGAATGTGATGATCACTTGCTGTATTGTACAACAGAGTCAAACTGCTGTTAGACTCAGGTGACATTCACATGTTGGAGGCTATGTTGGGATGAGTCATTACAAGGCCTCTTTCATTCTTCCTCTGTGATTTTCAGGAGTTCTTCTCTGTTGAACCTGAAGAGACGCCAGCCCTCCTCAGAGGAAAGGTCTAAAGCCCCTCGACTAGTATAGTAGGCGATAGAAGACTTGTTCCAAATGACGACACGAAAGTGCATGCAGCTACACTGGGTTCGGATGGCAATCTGTTTAAAAACACACAACCGAATATTACTCTCATTTGAATGTATAGTCTTTGTCAAAAGAAACTATCATGAGAGTGAACAGGCAATCTACAGAATGGGAGAAAATTTTTGTAAGCTACCCATCTGACAAAGGGCTAATCCACAGTCTACAAAGAACTTAAAGAAATTTACAGGAAATAAAAACATCAAAAAGCGGGTGAAGGATATGAACAGACACTTCTCAAAAGGAGACATTTATGCAGCCAACAAACATATGAAAAAAAGCCCATCCTCAGTGGTCCCCAGATAAATGCAAATCAAAGCCACATTGAGATACCATCTCATGCCAGTTAGAATGGCAATCATTAAAAAGTCAGGAGACAACAGGTACTGGAAAGGATGTGGAGGAATAGGAACACTTTTACACTGTTGGTGGGAGTGTAAATTAGTTCAACCATTTTGGAAGACAGTGTGGCTATTCCTGAAGGATCTAGAACTAGAAATACCATTTGACCCAGCAATCCCATTACTGGGTATATACCCAAAGGATTAGAAATCATTTTATTATAAACATACATGCACACGTAGGTTTATGGCGGCACTGTTCACAATAGCAAAGACTTGGAACAAACCCAAATGCCCATCAATGATAGACTAGATAAAGAAAATGTGGCACATCTACACCATGGAGTACTATGCAGCCATAAAGAAGGATGAGTTCATGTCCTTTGCAGAGACATGAATGAAGCTAGAAACCATCATTCTCAGCAAACTGACACAAGAACAGAAAACCAAACACCTCATGTTCTCACTCATAAGTGGGAGTTGCGCAGAGAGAACACACAGACACAGGGAGAGAAACATCACATACTGGGGCCTTTTGTGGGGGTGTGGGGTTGGGGAGGGATAGCATTAGGAGAA